TTTATCTTTTCCTTCTAAATCTATCTTTTGACGAAAAAAAAATATTAACCCGCGCTGAGAAAGGGAAATATCAAAGGTTTAAATGAAAAATGATGTCAATAAAAACAATTTTGTGTGTAAAAATATATATATTGTTGAATATAGAGCAATCCATTTATAATAATTAAAATAGGGGCATATTTTTTTTTGGATCAAAATATTTTAGATAATAAGCTTACAAGGTTTTTGAAATTTTCCGAGAAGAAGATAGGCGAACAGCCTCGTCGAAATATTGAAATTTAATAAATATTTTGATCCAAAATATGCCCCTATATTAATTTTAAAATATATATTACATTAAAAAAGATTTCTGTTGATTTTTGAATTGTTGAGATAAGTTTTTTATTTGTAATATTTGCTGTAGTTCTATTGAGTACATTGGTATTGGTATGCAGTCGTAGAAAATCTTGAAAATATAAATAAAAATAGCTAAGATCAGAAATAGCTTTAATTAAGCTTATCGAACATCTACTTATATAATTGCCTTATTCTGTCTGTGTGAAGTTCACGGATAGATTTTGGTCAGAATGTATAAAATAAAAAAAAGTGTCAAGGGATGGGAATCGAACCCACGACCTTCCGCTTACCGGGCAGATGCCATGACCACTAGGCTACCCTGGGACATATTTTTTCGTTCATAAAGTTAATATATGATGCCATAAATATAATAATTGTATAAACGAATGCAAGACAAAATCACCACGAATGTTTCTTTTTTTTTTAAGGCAATTTCTTTTTAAGGCAATTATTGTTTTGCACAATTACTTAATCTTTTAAAATAAATAACAATACTTAAATGAAAATATGTTTCTTAAAATAAAATAAAATAAACATTTTAAAAACACACAGTTTGGAACGGGACGTTTCACAAGAGTGACATCCATGCGCCAATTTATAATTGTAACGAATAGTATTTGAATTAAAACGTTTTTAAAAATATATACGCACTCGGGTAAAACCCGGGCGTTGCCCGGGCCATTCGTCTAGTAAATACATAATTTGATAAAGTACTACCTGTTTTAAGGCGAGTAGAATAAATAAGTCTTTTTTTTTAATCCTCCAAGCGGTTTTCACCAGTTTAATCTACCATACCGCTGTTAAATTGCAATCGTAAAAATGCAATATTACAGCGGTATGGTAGATTAAACTGGTGAAACCACTGTGAGGGTTCACCACTGAGGAGCTAGGCCCACCCATTAATTTTTCCATCGCAGTAATGGGCAGTAGAAATTGTTTAATTTTGAAAAGAATCAATCGCGCCTATAATGGTTTCGAATTTTTATAAATTGGTGTATTAAAAATAATATAATGTCCCTAAAAATAAAGCTATAACTTAGTAAAAGCTTGAAGTAGTATTATATATTATGCATACATCGAATTTAAAACAAATCAAGTATTAAAGGGAAAAGAATAATTGGTTACACTCATGGACACACAAAACTTAAGGAAGTAGAAATTCCTTCAAGTAGCCGGTCGTCTGTTTTTTTTTTTTTTTAAAGACAGAATCAATTTTATTTACACTTAATTTCTCGTGTGTCTTCAATAAACACTGTGTATCAAATATCTTTCAGGTTTTTTGTCGGAATATCGATTTACATGTCAAAAGGTATAGCTTCCTTATGTTTTGTGTCCATGAGTGAACATTTAATATATATATTGAAAATAGAGCAATACATAAATAAATCTTCAATTAAAAAGGCATATATTGGATTAAAATATCATTTATTTTACCAATATTTCAGTTGGCTGAACGCCAACCTATATCAAGGTGTTGACACACTTTAAAATGTTATAACATCTTGATAAAGGTTGCGTTCAGCCAACTGAAATAATGGTAAAATAAATGATATTCTGATCCAATATATGCCTTTTAATTGAAAAAAAAGTATATAATCAATTTATTTTTATTTTATATATCTACTAGACCATTCCACTCACATTATTAGAGTTAAAAAATAAATGCGCTTATTGTATTGATAAATAAACATGGTTCTCACAACTTCTATAAATCACACGACGTAAACTAATCTTACAGCTACAGCATTCCACTATAATTAACTCCATTTGAGATCGCTCCGAAGTATCGTTACAGAGAAACAAGATACAAACCCTGACAATTTAGACGTCTTCAATTATTGTGAAACACGGTCAAAACAGTTGGTTTTTCGCTCGCTACGACCCGGGTTAGATTCCTGCATTGGTCACTTTTTTTCTGATAAAAAAATGCTCCAATGGCCCCCGATTCTTGCAAAGTCCAACCCCACCAGCGAGTGCAAGTAACCAAACGGGGTTCTGATATATTTGTAAGTACAAAGTCGAACTGTTTTTCACATATGTAGACATGTGGTACACTTACAGTAAAGCAGTCGCCTACCATGGCCTGTTCCATGTGTACTAAGGATAAACAAAAAAAAATTGTGAAAAGCAAATCAGACAACAAATAAACTCGAACAACATAGAAATTATCGTATAAAAAAAACAAATAATATAATAACCAGAAGAACACAAGCAATTTAGAGTTTCTCCAATTTATTTGCAACATTGCAACAGCTTGCAATAAAACAAAAGATACCGTGAGTGATAATTCAAATTATTGTGACACCAAGAGAACCACTGTTGGCGCAATGGTAGAACCATTGGTTAGGAATCTGGCGGAATAAATATAAACTATTCGTCGATTTTTAATTAATCCAGAATATTGGCCAAATACCCTTTCTTGATTAATCAATAAAAAACAACTATATACGTGTCTCAGGCTATTAACTCACGTCAGCGTGGTGCAGGCTGTTCTTCAACGACCAAAATAGCTTGTCCTTGAAGCTTCCTGGAATATCAAGAAATGGTTCGAAAAGATTGAACTATATGAAAACTTTGGCCTTAAAAATTTATTTCTTGATTTTATAAAAAAGCCTTAAAGACCAGTTCTTCTGGTCGTTGAGGTGAGCCTTCGCCACACTGACGAAGTCTAACACCCTGGAACGCGTACTTGATTGGTTTTTATTGATTAATCAAGAAAAGGTTTTTAGCTGATAATTTGAAATAATCAAAAATAATCGAATAGCTGATCGTAAAGATAGAGGTTGCCTGACCGGAATTCATAGTTCTTCAAATAAAAGATACTTAAGCCAGTAAATCTTTTTATTGTCTCGACGTTTCGACAAAAATATTTTGTCTTCGTCAAGAGCGAATAAAATATTTTTGTCGAAACGTCGAGACAATAAAAAGATTTACTGGGCGAAGTATTTTTTATTTGAAGAACGAATAGCTGATATACATTATAGAAGAAGAAACAGAAGTCGGGGAAGAGCTTTTTATATATGAGGACGTCGTACAAGCTTTCGGTCAAAACACCCTTCTTCGGGTACAAAAATACCCGCAGTATTATAATAGATCATCTAGCACGAAACCTTGTAGATCGTCCTCTTACAAAAGAAGCTCTTCTCTCTCACTTGTTTCCTTCTTCTATAGTGAATAGGAATATATTATCGTTATTCATTCTGACAGATGGCGCAAACAATCAGTAACTTTAGTTACACGATCAGAGGAAATGCTGTTTTTCCTAATATTTTGAAGATCTGTTTGTTAGAGTGTGTGGGAGTGTGGGATTTGAATAATATAAATAGAAAATTTGGTCGGTTTTAACTTCTGTTATACAACAAATAAACAAAAATATGAAAAATAATTTAATGAATATATTAATTCTTTTAAGGAGAGTGACAGGGAGTCACTGAAACGTTGGGGAGATGATAAAAAATAAAGGTCGATGTAGGTCGATCTTTTTCCAACAAACTTCCAATCAGCAAATGACCTTCATAAACACAACAAGATTCAAGAGAGTAAGGATGATCAAATCGAAGCTTAAGTGTCTTCTTATCACTTTCTTTGATGTAAAGAGATTGGTACAGTATGAATTTGTGCCGAGGGTCAGACCATTAATCAACATTACTATCTTGATGTAGGCGGCCCTGTGCGTCAGAAACGACCCGAAAAATGGCATCAGAAAAATTGGCTCTTGCATCATGACAACGAATGGCCACATACAGCCATCACTGTACAACTCTATTTTGCTAAACACTGAATCGCTTTACTACCCCAGCCACCCTATTCTCCTGACCTTGCTCCCCAACGACTCTTTCCTTTACCTTAAAATTAAAGTCTTAAAAGGACGTCGATTTGACTCAATACCTGAAATAAAGGAGAATACGAAGAATATTTTGAAAAACCTGAAAGATGTGGATTTTTCAGAGGTGTTTTGATATCTGGAAAAAAGATGGAACAGGTGTATAGATAGTGACGGTTATTATTTTGAGAATTTTAAATAAAACTTTATTATACTTTTGTATTTATTTTAATATTCATCATTCCTGGATATTATTGATCACATTGTGTACATTTGACTTTGGTATATGACGACATTAGAATGAAGCAGCTTCAATAAAAAAACCAATAATTGAAAGAGCCTACCAGGATCGGTTAAGTTCTTTCACATTCAGGTATATCTTTTTTGTAACATAGTCAATGGATCGCTTTCTGACTCAAACAGTCTAATAACTAATATCTCGAGAAACGATCAAATATAATAATTAGAGTAGTTAATTTAGTTGGTAATGGTTATTGGAAAATAGCCGAATATTGTTTTCTGACACAACACACAAAAATTAATAACGTTGTATTAAAAACAGAAATTTTCTATTAAAAACTCTATTGTCATTTTTCGAGTTTTGTCTGATAATGGAATTTATAATTAATTTTTTTAAATTTATTTCTGATTATTAATTGCTGGTATATTTTTCTAATAGAACAATTATTTTGTTTAATTGTTTTGGTTATTCGGGTTATATTGGTATATACATATTTTTAATACAATATAATGCGGATTTTGATTGTAAAATTTACTATCATAACCCGTATTATATTTATTATGAATTACTTTATATAATATTTACGAACGGAAAATATATGTCCAGGGTAGTCTAGTGGACATGGCATCTGCCCGGTAAGCGGTAAGCACGTTCTCCGCACACAATATCCTTAATACAATATAATGCGGCTTATGATTGTAGAACGACATTTGAAAATTATCCCGCATGTGTTTCTTTTAAAACGAAAAATCGAAAATTTATTTTAATGGAGAAAAACGAATATTTCTAACCTTAGGGATGAAGTATGAAAGGATGAATGTAAACAGTAATGATAAACGGAAAAATAAAAGTGTCCAGGGATCGTGGGTTCGATTCCCATCCTGGACACTTTTATTTTTCCGTTTATCATTACTCTTCACAATTCCTTTCATACTTCATCCCTAAGCTTAGAAATAATCATTATTTCTCCTTAAAAATAAATTTCGATTTTTCGTTTAAAAGAAAACATGCGGGGTAATTTTCAAATGTCGTTTTATATTTTCAAGTTTATAAAATATAAGAAAAAGTGTTCATTGAAATTAATTGTGATTGATTTATTAATGTTAGTTTAGCAAGCTAAGATGAAATAAATTGTAATTTTTATGAAAATAAGTTTTAAAAATATATAATTAAATAATTTTGAGTTAATATTTATATTCATCACTGTGATGAGCCAACACTTTCATTTAATAATTTCCATTATTGCAGTAAAATCTTCAGAGATTATATTTGATAATTATATATCATAAGAGAAAAAAATATTTCCAACAATAATTTCAAAATTTATTGATAGATTGAAATTGAAGTTATAACTGTAAAATATGCTTTATGCATATATAATATAGCGCACAATAATATACATTCAAAATAATATTTCAAATTTTAGCCACTATGATTATAAGATAAGATAAAAATAATAGTTAATATGAAAAAAAAAAATCTAATATTTTTTTGAAAATAGAGCAATCCATATTTAATTCATTAGATAATAAAAAGGCATATATTGGTTTTTAATAAAATTTTTTTGCAATATTTCGGTTAGCTGAACGCCAAACCTTTATCAAGGCATTACATTTTTGTATACACAACCTCAACGCATATAACAATCTGGGCGCTGAGATTGTGTGTACAAAATGTAATGCCTTGATAAAGATTTGGCGTTCAGCCAACCGAAATATTGGCAAATAAATATTTTATTATATATATAAATCCAATATTGTATATTTTATTATTCAATATATATTATATATATACAAATTAAAATGCAAATAAAATAATTTAAAATAAAATAATCCAGAAATATTTATGTACATATATATAGTCGGTGTCTAACGGCGTTTCTTCATTGCATTTTTATACTCTGTAGACGGGCGAGTATCTAATGTCTGAAAATTTGTGATTATTGCAATAAAAATGAAAAAGAATCTCATCTCCAGAAAACTCTCGCCTTATTTAATATGCCATTTTATTTGGAATAAGTATTTTTGTAACACAAGTTTAACTTTGGACACTAAATTTAGAATGGTGTCGGGTTGACGATTATTGTTTTAAATCAAGACGCCTTGGACCGTTTAAAAGACGGTCGCTAAGGAGGACGTGTCGTTGAGAGAAGCGGTCATTAGAGGAGGAGGTATAATGGAATATTCCCTCCGTTGGAAAGACTTACCATTGAATGATAAGCCAAGTCCTCCCATATTTTTATCATCGTAGTGTTTGTCATATTTTTAAAAGAAACTTTCGCACTCCAATATCTAAATTTATAATGAAAGATGGCTATAATACAGCATGTGTATTTCAAATTGTTTATAACACACAAAGATGAAATTATATATTTTCTCCCTTTCAATATCTTAATATTTAAATATGTAAAAATTAATTTGTATATAAATAGTATATAGCATTATTTTTTATCGTGTAATCTGTTGAAGGATGGAAAGTCGAAAGCTTGAAATAAAAATTTGAACAAGCAAATTAACTAGAAGCTTCATTCATTTTATATAATACATCATGTTTTAATGTCTCAATGCTTTAAAGGCCAAAAGATCTTTGACAAAAATATATAATTAAAAATTTGATCCACAAATAATTCAAAAACGATGTACATCTCATTAGTATGCGGCTCATACCTAACAGTGTGTTCGAAATCCTTGAGTATATATCTTCTAGTGTTGTGCCTTGATATATATATATATGTTTGAAAATTGAGCAACCATATATTAATTATTTAAAAATGATTATTTTGAATTATATATTATTTTTATTTCCAATATTTCGTATAGTAACTTGCCAAACTTCTTGGGGAACAGATTGTTTTGAGATGCTCGCGTATCAATTCACGATCAATAATAGCAGTTGTACATACTCGTGAATTGATTACGCGAGCATCTCAAAACAATCTTGTTCTCGAAGAAGTTTGGAGAGTTGCCATGCGAATATGGAGATAAAAAATATATATTAATCCTAAATTAGCATTTATATATATATTTTGTTTTATTTTGTGGCTGAAATATACACTTTTATGTTGTTTGTGCCTTATAAGATATATATATATATTATTGTTAGTGCTTGAATATATATATTCTTTGTTGTGTGCTTGACTATATTTTATCTGTTGTGTGCCTTGAAT